GTGCTATGCACAAAGATCCTTATTAAACATGCATGTGTGTGAGGAATGGTCGGAGGCTATTATACGAGCCCCGAACATCCCTCAACGTCAAAGAATTCGAGTACCACATCCTACACTCGGGGCGAATCAAACCCCAGATCAAATGGGACTTACATCTGACAAGCAGATGCCCGACCAACTGATCTGAATACACGGTGCATATATATATATAGCCCAAAAAGGCTAATATATTAACTAAAAAGAAAGATACAGATACAATGTGTTGAAGGGCCCAAACATGACACCCTATTCACACAAAAATCACAAGTGGTTCCAAAACTAGAAAATACAGAAATGTTCAGTAGAGACAAAATACTTACAAATGCTTAATACATAGTATCAGGTGGCTAGAGAGCAACTCAATTTGATTTTGCCTTTGCCTTTGGTTCTAGGAAAGGAGCAAGCTAATAAGTTGGTAAGATAATTGTCATTGCAGTAGTAACCAATGTATCATCCAATATGTTCCCGAGCTGGAGTCGGTCTCCATTATTCTTCTTCCTCCTGGAATAAACCTGTGTTTGCAGCGAAAGGTAACCCTCTTCCTCTTTTTTTTCAAGCTTTTTAAGGCCTTTCAGTTGGAAAACTTGGATTGATAGGAACAAGGGAGTTTTGGAGTGATACATACAACTATAGTGAAGTAAAGAAGATGGACTTTTTATGTGGAATCAATAATAGGAGATCATAACAATTATCAATGTATGACACATGTTTGGAAAATAATATTAAGAAATGTTTATGTTAGTAGTGTTTTTTGTTTTAGTGAAAGATGTATTTATTCCCCTTTCATAGTGATTATTTGGCTTTTTACTTGTTTTCTATTGCATTTATATTGCATTCCTACAAATAGAAGGCTATATTTAGTGAATAAGATGCTAAAAAAATTTCCTCACAATATGATATTAGAGCAAGGACATAGTGGAGAAAAAGAATTCATGTAGCCAGCCCCAATTAGTGGGATAAAAGCTTCTTCTTTTTGTTGTTGCTGTATTTTATTAGAGCAAGGCTAAAATCTAGTTGTTTGTTTCCTTACCTACCCCCCCCCCCCCCCCCCCTCTCCATCTCCCCTCTCTCTCTTGTTTTCTTACACCATTGTACCCTTGTGCTGACATGATTTGTGCCCATGCCTACATGCCACCACAAGCTCTCGTCTGCATGCTCCTTTGCTTATGTGATATCACATTCATTTGGTGTTTGGCCTACTTTGTCATTGTTGTACTTTTGCCTCTTGCCCTAGCTAGTTAGTCTGCACGATCTTGTAACTTGCATTAAAACTCACCTTTAATGCATAAGGAGTTAATATTTGAACATTTCACTTTATGATTTTTGTTTCTCCATGATATTCTCTCTCTCTTCGTAATTTCATAGCCTTCGGCTCTCTATATTTGGGATGAAATCTTCTATTGGTTCTACCATCAGATTTATTAGTACAAACTATTTCTATGGTAGATAATATTTGATTTTTTTGTCAATTTGCACAACAAGCTCCATAATCCCAATACAACTCCTGATAGCAGGGATACCATTATGTTCTCTACATGGAAATCATTTGATTGTCATTTTTTTTTATTACTCAATAATTTGCCTTAGTTGTAATGTTTCAAGATTATATTATGCAGTTGCTCATTTCATTTATATTTAGAAGAGTGATATTTTTTTCTTCTTGCAGTTTTCTACTTTGAAATTTTCTCTTCAACAAAGTATGCAAATCAGGATTTACTTGATCGATTTCATTGTTCAAAAAAGACTTAAAGGCTCACTATTGATTTTTTTTTTAATTTCACATATATTCAAGAGAGTATTTTTCTCGTGTTTGCAACATTGACTTTGAAGTCTTTTCCTTAAAACAAAGTGATATGCGGATTCAAAAACACTTATAGTTTTTTATGAAACAAATGGGATGAGTTCGTTTAGTTCCTCCCTTTTGTGATCGACCCGAGTGTTTGGTAAAAGAAAATTGAAGAATTTCTTGTTATCAAAATTATCTCTACTTCTTGTACTTGTCTTCATGGGTGTATTATCTCAATTAATAGTTGACTCTACAGTGCCAAAGACAACTCTGTCTCTAGTTCTCCGTGTCACCAAACTCAAAGTTTAGATCAATTAGATTTAGCAGCTTTTTCTTTAGTGGCAGGGGTTTTTGATGGAATGGTGATAGAAAAATCATGGTCTTGATTGGAATATCTTTTCCTCACATCCTAATTGCACCCAAACTAATCAACCTCATAAACATTTATAAGAGAGTTGGTTTCTCAGATGCTTCTCACATCTAGCTTGACTTTGTTGATGCCTTGTCAAGATCATTTACATTTTTTAAGAAGACCATGTGACTGACTGCTTCAAAAATCACTATCATCCATCTCTTCCTCTCATATTATTTTTTTTTATATATCTGTCACTTGTTTTATTATTACGTCCTGTTTTCTTATATATCTGTCACTTGTTTTATTATTACGTCCTGAGTTTTAGAGTAAGATATCCTCATATGGCCTCCCACTCCATTGCTGCTTACGGTTGTCCTATTTTTTTAAAGGGTAGAATACATTACTCCTCAAATTCTCGCTTTTAAAAGTTATGTATTTTTTTTAATTTTTCTTTATCATTTTATTATTTATTCACTATCGTATGAGGACTCATAATTGTTTAGTGACTTTTTATCCCATTCATTGTGACTTTTTACCGCACACCTATTACTTGACCAGTGATAATCCTTAGCCCTTCTTACATCAATACTTATTAGTCGTGTAGTTGATTGAGTCATCATTTTTTTGACAAACTTCAAGATTATGTTTTTGTCTCTTCATTACTCTCCAATTGACGATTATTCCACCTGTGAATTGGGTATACACCATGATCTTTCTTTTTTTTCCTCTCCTTGTAGCTGTTTATTTCGTCTTTTTTCTTATTCACTTACATATGGAGACTCCATAGTTCAATTCTTATGTTTTTTGGATTTTGATAGTTTATCACATTTGTTAATGATTCAATAAAGGTTACTTGGGTCTATTTACTTAAAGATTTGTCTAAAGTCATTTATATATTCAAGCCTATTATCAAGGAATAATACCCAATTTCCATATCAATCAAAACCTTATGTTTAGATTATAAATGCTCTGGAATTAATGTTGTCTCAATTATAGACATTATGTTGTAACAATGATATTATTTTAACTTGTGTACATCTCAACATAATGATGTGGCTGAATACAAACAATGTTATCTTCCTGATATTGGAAGAACTATATTGCTACCATGTGAATGCATCTCGACAATTACTGGGAGCTGCAATCTTGTTGCTACTTCTATCTCATCAATCAGGATCATTCCCTTCTCCTTACAAGCTTGCTTCCTCCCCGCATACTTATCATCATTCTATCTTTCATATTTGGCCATCAATGTTATCTTCCGAAAACTGCAATATGTTGTTAGGAATTCCTAAAAAATAGCATGAAATATTTGAATTGCAATTCCAACAATCCAGAATAGAGAGAAGCGTCTTCAGCACAGGGAAAGCCGTAAATGACTGAACTAAGGTTGGCTTCTACAAAGTAATTCTCGTCAGGTGAAGAAAATCAAATTTAAGGAGCAATATATATATATATATATATAGACACGGTCGCGAATCCCCTCCTCTGACCAGTTTGCTGGTAGGGAGAGCGGTCCTCGAATAGTTAGGCACATGAGGGTGGCTGGGGGCTCATATAATAGGCCTCCGGTCATTCTTTATGAATATATATATATATATATATATACATTTCACAGCAAGTTAAAGACCAAAACAGAGAAGGAAAAATCACTTGTCGGAAGGAACATTTAGCCTCGTTACCGATCACTTGCATTTGGGCTTGCAAATTGACTGTTAGCATTTTTTATGTTGGAGCTTTCATGATTATAATATATTTTTTTATGGAAATTACGCATAATAATTTGCATAAAATAGGTTTAAAACCTCGTTGAACGCTCAACATGGTTAAGGCTGTTAAAGGTAAGACCTCAGAGCTCATTCTGCTCCCATCAAGGTCAGCTCATTGTCATTTGATCCCATCTCTAGTTGATCTAAATGTGGACCTAGGAATGGCTGGTGTTGAGCTAATTTTGCTAGTTCACTTTGATTTGAAATCAATTCAAGCCAAAAATGAATCTGCACTCAAGTAATTGTTTAGTACCGAAGGTACATTTTTAGTTCAATGTATGCATATTCATGTATACTTCTGTGAGCTTCAGCTGAATTGTAAATATATCATAAATATATGTCTATCCATATTTAGATATTCATGCCTATACATTTTCATGTGATCCTTAGCTACCTTGACTTTGATTCAAGCTTGGATCAATTGAAGTTTGAATTGTCAAAATTGATCCTATTTTTAAGCTATCCTTGTTCTTCGAGCTCTGCTCGCATGTCTAAATATGGATGAATGATGCGGATCACAAATTGAAGGGACAAGGCTAAGAATGGTGATGATAGCTAAGCTGAGCTTATGGAGACATTTTAAAAATTTTTTTTAAGTTACCAAAGATTGCTTTACAAAGTTAGTGTGGTGTTTATCTTGTGGCATATTTCATGTATGGATTTCTTAAGCCTGGTCTTGTGGATTTCTAGTCCATTTTGTACTTTGAACCACTGCAGGCTATTCGCTACTTCTTGCTCTTATCATCGATCGATTGCACCATTACATTAGAGAGCTGCGTGGGTTGAGAAAGAGCTTGGAAGCTGTAATGAAGCAAAACAGGGCATTAGAAGAATCAAAAAGTGGCGGCTCTGATGAAATGAAAGCGCGAGATATAGAGATTTCCAAACTGAACCAACAGATTAATCAACTTAAAGCCGAAAACGCAGTGCAGCTGACTGTAACGAAGCAAAACAGGGCATTAGAAGAATCAAAAAGTGGCGGCTCTGATGAAATCAAAGCGCGAGATGAAGAGATTGCCAAACTGAACCAACAGATAAATCAACTTAAAGCCAAAAACGAGGAGAAGCTGAAGGAACTAAAAGCCGCCGATGCAAACATGACAGCTTTAAGGAAGCAGTCGGAGGGGTTTCTCATCGAATATGACCGCCTATTGGAAGACAACCAGAATCTTCGCAACCAGTTGCACTCCATTGATCTCACCTTATCACACTCCGATTCAAAGAAGCATCCTTGAAATTCCTTACTTTTGTATTTCTGTGTCTTCACCTAAAAATTTTATACAGTTTAGAACCTCATAGTCGTCCCTTTTACACGCTTTGTGTATTTTTAGAGTTGGTGAAATGATAGATAAATCATGAGTGTTTATTTACCTTACCTGAGACTACTATTGTTTGGTTTTGGTTACATTGGCATGTTCAGTTGGCATTGCTAGAGCTGAAATGGTTGTGATTTTGTCCGTTGGTTATTTCCTTGGCATGTTATGAAGTTTCATGCAGCCGAGCCCACTTAGTGAGATAAAGGTGAGATAAAAGGCTTGTTGTTGTTGCTGTTGTATGTTATGAAGTTTCAACTTAGGCTATCGTTTTGGTATTGCAGCAGGTTTTAATGCACGTTAACTTGACGGTGTCCCTGTTTTATCTCTGTTTTCTTCTGATTTAATCAAAGGTTCTCTGAGGAGTTTATGGGTGCCATGTGGAAATCTGATTTGTTGTTTTTCTGATCTGGCTACTGAAGTCTGTTGTGCCGTTAGCTCTTTTGTGTGGGTAAATGAATACATGACTTCAAAATCTGGAGAAATATTCATGTAAGGAGTACGCACGTAGCTCTCCGTGAGTAATCCTCTGCCAATAATCGCTCAATAACCTCTGCGAAGATTATTGGGGGGTTATTGCGAAGTTATTTCGACGTTATTTAGAGTCGATATACTCCGTGGTTACACTTTCACATTTTCTCTAGTGTTAAGGCATTGACTCCAAATAACACCGAAATAACTTCGCAATAACCCCCAATAACTTTCGTAGAGGTTATCGAGGGGTTATTGGGAGTGGATTACGCACGAAGTGCTGTGTGTTCTCCGTACGTAAATATTTCTCCAAAAGCAAACTCCGATTGTAGAGCAATCAAATTAAAAGTTCTTTTTGTGGCTGCCGTTCTTTTTTTTTAAAAATAACATAAAATTACTATGAGAAA